GCGCCCCGCCCCCCGACGGGGGGAGGGGGCAGTGACCCCGGCCCCGCCCCCCGCGGGGCGCCCCACCTGCACCCTCACATCCGTCCAGCCCCCCGACCAGGCCAAGCCCCAGGCAGGCCGGGCCTTGGAGGAAAGCCAGGCCTCCCAGCTGCTCAGGAGGCCGAGATCGGAGGATCGCAGTTCGAAGCCAGCCCCGGGAAGGAAAGTCCTTGAGACTCTTTTTTTTATCTCCAAGGAGTGATAGAAGTGCGGAGCCTTAAGGGAAGAATGCCAGGGACAGGCCCCAGGCCTCGAGTTCAAGCCCCAGGTCTGGCAGGAATAAAAGCTTCCTTCCTTTGTTTCCTTTTTGTCTCTATTGTTGCTGGAAAGGTGAGCTTTGGACGGGCCGCAGTTGGAAAGCACATTTATTTTTAGACAAGGTCACCCTCCTTCTTCCTTCTTTTTTTCTTTTTGACACAGTCTGGCTGTCCTGGAACTCAGGATCTTCCTGCCCAGCGCTGGTCATGCAAGGCCTGTGTCACCATCTTAATACATGTGAAAACACAACTTCATTTTCAGAAGCCAGCTGCAGCTAGGGCACTGTGTGGCTCATGCCTGTAATCCCAGCCCTCAGGAGTTTGAGGAAGAAAGATCTCCAGTTCTAGGCCACCTGGGGCTGCGCATGGATACCTTGTCTCAAAGAAACCAAACAACGAAAGGAAAAAGCAAAGTGGGAGGGGTAAGTCCCAGCTACTTGTGAGTTAAAGGGGGGGAGGATTTTCTGAGCTCAGGAGTACAAGGCCAGCATAGTGGGACCCTGTATCCAAAGAGGAAAAAAAAAAGCAATGCAAAAATAAGTAATCCTGGTGGCTGGTGACTCACACCTTTAATCCTCCCTAGTCAGGGGACTGAGATTTGAGGATCATGGTTCAAAGCCGGCCCAGGCAGGAAAGTCTGTGAGACTCTTATTGCGAATGAACCAGCAAAAAAATCTGAAATGGAGCTATGGTTCAAGTGGTAGAGCACCAGTATTGAGTGAAAAAACTCAGGGCCTAGGCCCTGAGTTCAAGTCCTTGTAGTCATGCGCGGCGCGCGCGCGCACACACACACACACACACACACACACACATCCTGAGGCCCCATTTCTCCCCATTACCTCATTCTTTAACCCATACTTTTTTTTTTTTAAGCCAATCCTGGGGCTTGAACTCAGGGCCTAGGTGCTGTCCCTAAGCTTCTTTTGCTCAAGGCTGGCACTCTACCACTTGAGCCATAGTGCCACTTCTGGCTTTTTCTGTGTGTGAGGTACTGAGGAATCGAACCCAGGGCTTCATGCGTGCTAGTACTGAGCCACATTCCCAGCCTTCCTTTTTTTTTTTTTTTTTTTGAGTGTCACAAGATAGCCCAATCTGCCCTCTAACTCTCCATCTTCCATTTCCAGCCTCCCCAGTGCTGGGATTACAGGTGTATGCCACCACCCCTGTCCTATGTACCTGGACTAAATATGTAGAAAATTGGAGCTGGCTTCAAGCTCGACTGTATCCAGGACCAGAATGGTTACCATCAGGACCAGATCTGTGCTCAGCTTTGCTGTGTTGGCTTCATTCTTGGCCGCCGTCCTCTCCCCCCCCCCCCCAGGCAACCATCATGGCTCTTTCATTACCCACCTCAGCCCTCCAAGTCCTTCTGCTTCATTTCAGCATGGCTGATGGCTCATTCCCATCGGCCAAGCTTGAGTCATGTGATTTCCCTCCCTAGGCTGGCTTTGAACTGGGATCCTTAAATCACAGCCTCCCGAGTAGCTAGGATCACAGGAATGGGCTACCAATGTAAGGCTTTTGTTGTTGGTGGTGGTGGTCCTGGGGCTAGAACTCAGGGCCTAGATGCTATCCCTGTGCTCTTTTTGCTCAGGGCTAGCATTCTACCACTTTGAGCCACAGTTCCACTTCTGGCTTTCTGGTGGTTCATTGGATATAAGAGTTTCACAGCTGCCTGGGCTGGCTCAGAACCACAATCCTCATATCTCAACCTCCAGAGCAGCACTTTATTTTTGAGACAGGATCTTACAATGTGGGCCCTGGAACTCTGAGACCTCCTGCCTATAATCCTGGCTGTTCAGGAGGCTGAGATGTGGAGGGTCGAGGTTCGAAGCCAACCCAGGCAGCAAAGTCTATAAGACTCTTTGTGTTGTTGTTGTTGGTCATGGGCTTGAACTCTGTGGTTTATTGAACTAGTGGTTTATTGGAGATAAGAGTCTCACTGACTTTCCTGCCCAGGCTGGCTTTGAACCGCAATCCTTATATCTCAGCCTCCTGAGTAGCTAGGATGACAGGCGTGAGCCACCAGTGCCTGGCTTGGGTTTTTTGTTTTTTGTTTTATGTCCCTCAGCTCTTCTGCTCCTGGCTAGCGCTCAACAGTTGAGTCACAGAGCCACTTCCGGTGTTTTTGTTTTGTCAGTCATGAGGCTTTGAACTCTGGGCCTGGGTGCTGTCCCTCAGCTCTTCAGCTCAAGATGAGCGCTCTACCACTGGAACCACAGTGCCACTTCTGGTTTGATGAGTGGCTTATCAGAGATAAGAGTCTCACAGACTTTCCTGCCTGGGCTGGCTTTGAACCAGTATCCTCAAATCTCAGCCTCCTGAGTAGCTAGGATGACAGGCGTGAGCCACTAGTGCCCGGCAAGGGATGGTTTAGATAAGCCAGGAACCGGAAACTTGCTGCCATTGGCAGGGAGGGCCGTAGGTTTTGCTCACGCCTTTGTGAGTTTGCACAGCAAGTCCTTTTCTGAGAAAAGGTCAGGGTTCAGGTTTTGACCCAGCAGATGCATCTCAGGACACAACATTGCCACCATCTGAGACCTTGAAGGGTTAATAAAAAGATGAGGGGGGCTGGGAAGGTGGCTCAGTGGTAGAGCGCTTGCCTTGAATGCATGAGGCCCTGGGTTCCATTCCTCAGCACCACATAAGCAGGAAAAAAAAAAGCCAGAAGTGGTGCTGTGGCTCAAGTGGTAGAGCGCTAGCCTTGAGCTAAGAGCTGAGGGACAGCGCCCAGGCCCAGAGTTCAAGCTCCCCTCCCCCCAAAAAAAGATGAGAGGTGTCATGCTAGGTAGATATCTGGCTAGAGAGATGGATCATCAGGAAATGTCTTCAAGGAAGTAAAGAATGCAAGGTAGAGCCAGGTGCTTGTGGCTCACGCCTGGCATCCTAGCTACTCAGGAGGCTGAGATCTGAGGATGGTGGTTAGAAGCCAGCCCAAGCAGGAAAGTCCCTGAGACTCTTATCTCCATTAAGCTACTCAAAAAAGAAAAAAAAAAACCTGGAAGTGGCGCTGTGACTCAAATAGTGGAGCACCTACCTTGAGCACATACAGTCAGAGACAGCATCCAGGCCCAGAGTTCAAGCTCCAGGACTGGCAAAAAAAAAACAAATAACCCAGAAGTGGCACTATGGTTCCAAGTGGTAGAATGCCAGCCTTGGGCAAAAGACAGTGCCCAGGTCCTGAGTTCAAGCCCCATGACCAGCAAAAATTCAAAGCAAAACAAAAATACAAGGCAGGAAAATTCAATGAAGGACGATGGTGGCTAAAGGCGGTTGAAACATTAGAGGCCAGCCGAGTGCCCGTGGCCCACACCT